TCCTTGGGAGCTGGGGGGGGGGTATCTGGAACACCAACACAGTCCGCATTAATGCTCTCCAACTCGTCACCGAGCCGTCGGGCCGTGGGAGAGCTCGGACGCGAAGGGCCGATGGAGCCCTTGCGGCGCATGCGCCGAAGTGGCTCCATCAGGCTCGCATGCGAGGTCACCGCGGGCGAGTCGGTGAGGGTGAGCTTTAAAGGGCTGATAGCCTGTGTACGGGGTTGAAGTACAAGGGTACAGAACCCCTGATCCGTTGGTAGAGAGAAGGAGGGATAGATGGATATCTTTCCCTCCCGCACGATCAAGGTCTGATCGATCTATCTCAGTACCTGAGCCCAAACGGCCAGGCGCAGGAGAGGTAAGGATAAGGAGTAAATATGAGGGTATTACACGGGTTCCATTCACAACTACGGCCACCCACCCAGAAGACTCACGAACAAACGCGCTTAGAATTGCCAATCCTTGTTGCCCGCCCTTCATGACCCAAGGAACTAAAATCAACTGATTGCAAAAACAACCTCACACAGAGGGCATCGCCATACCGTGCGGAGGGCGCGTGCCAGGCATAGTCATAAATGTTCGAAGGTCCGCGCGGCTTTCTTGAATCGGCGCTGGACCCCCCTGACGTCGCCTCTGGCGATGCCCTTGGCGCAGGAGGTGCGCCACGGAGAGAGGTCCAGCGACGATCCTAGAAATCTGCGCGGATTTCCGGCAATTGTTGTTTATGCCATTGCGTAACCCTGTGCTGCCGAGATTAATGCCACAGGGATAATAAAGTTCGGGGTTGCGGGGGGATTATACATGTTGCCTACCGGAGGCCAGCATGTGGGAGGAGAAAGAGATGATGTTAACAGGACCGAAAGCCGAGGATCGAGGATCGAGAATCGAAGTCCGAGCATCGAGGATCGAGATCCCAGAGTCGAGGTCCGAGGTCCGAGTACCGACGGCGGCGAGGTCCGAGGATCGAGGATCGAGGTCCGAGGGTCCAACATCGAAGATCGGGGATCGAGGTCCAGGGTGCCGGGGGGAGAAGGAGGAAGACAGAGAGAGACAGAGACAGAACTATACAGATAGTTAGAGGAAGAGGGAGAGAGAGAGATAATGAGAGAGACAGAGAAAACAAAGTAGAGAAAGATAGACAGGCAGAAGGAGAGAGGAGGAGGAGGAGGAGAAACGCCAAAGCTCCAAACCTATGAACTTTAATTTGTAAACAAACAATGGGAATCAGATTTTCATCTGCTCGTGTAGGGTAGCTCACGTGCCTCTGTCTTCGAAGAAAGTACTCCACAGCGATAAAACAAGTTCAGTGCGCCAGGGGGAGAAGGAGGAATACATATAGAGACAGAGACAGACATATACAGATAGTTCGACAGAGAGAGAGAGAGAGAAGTAGAGAACTATAGACAGACAGAAGGAGAAAGAGACAGAGAGAGAGGAGGAGGAGGAGGAGGAGGAGGAGGAGGAGGAGGAGAAACGCCAAAGTTCCAAACCTATTAACTTTAATTTTTTAATTTGTAAACAAACAATGGAAATAAAGACTTTCATCTGCTCGTGTAGGGTAGCTCACGTGCCTCGGTTTCCGTGGATAGTAAACCACAGCGATAAAGCAAAAGTTCAGGGGGCCAGGGGGAGAAAGAGAAATACAGAGAGAGGGAGAGAGAGAGAGACAGAGACAAAGAGAGAGAGCTATATATATAGAGAGAGAGAGAGAGACCAAACAAAAAAGAAAGCGAGTGAGGAGGAGGAGGAGGAGGAAGAAGTCTCTCATCGACAAGTCTCTCGCTTCGCTTGTGACATCCTCGAAGAATTGTTGGTTCCGCTTGAGACATCCTTGAAACATTGATCGTTTCGCTTGAGGCTGCCTCCAAAAATTGTTGGTTTCGCTTGAGACATCCTCGAAAACTTCGCTCCGTTTGATGTTGCTATCCCAACATAAGAAGGTACTTAACCTCGATGGTGAACGTTTCACAGTGATAAAACAGTTCGGCCTCCGCGTCCCGCGCCCCTGACCAAACTCTTATTGCCCGTGGATAGTCAACTCTAGCGTGTTAAGGGGGGGGTCCTTTTTTATCATCGCCACACGGTTATTTCTTACTGGTGGAGGATCGCCAGGCACCCTAGGCGCGCGGGACGCCGCGCGCCGCCTGGTGCTCCAGGATGGCCGCAGAACGTCGCCCCGCAGGCTGTCCAGCCTTCGGCACAGAGGCCACGTCTCGCGTGAAGGACGTGCCAGCGCGTTCCTCGGAATCGTTGAGGGCGGAGGCCGATGGCTCCTAGTGCGTGTGGGCCCTGGGGCCACGATGCCCGAGCGGAGGTGGAGCATCGAGTCCTCCAGGCGGCCCCCTCGACGGCGCGCCCCGCAGAGGTACTCCACGTCAACGCCGATGGTCCCTGGGTGCGAGCGACGCGCCGTCCTCGGCGCGCCAGGCGTGATGTCGGCCCTTCGTCGACGCTGGCGTCGGAAGGAGGTCCCTGCGTAGGTTCGCGAAGAAGGGGTCCAAGATGGCAGCGCGCATCGCGCGCGTGCAATCGGAGGGGACGCGTCGCACGCGCAGGACAGGTGACGTCCTTCATGTCAGCTGAAGAGATGTCCTCTTTCACCTTGCCTGCCCTTGCTGCTCCAGGAACATGTTCCCTGAGAGGCCTCCAGGAACGTGATGGGCCCTCTCCTGGCTCTGGTGCCTCCTCGCTCTCCTCAGCGACTCGTACTGGCCCTCCTCCTGATCTTGCTGCCTCCTCGCTCTCCTCAGCGACTCCCCCTGGTCCTTTCCCTGGTCTCGCTGCCTCCTCGCTCTCCTGAAGGAGCTGGTGCGTCCAGGGCGACAACGGGGGCTCCTTCAAGAAAGGGCAAGCACATGCAGATGGTCCGCCATCGCGACGAGATCAACTCGACCGTCGCGCCAATGGGCGCTAGGGGAGGGGAGGGGGAGGACAACGACGACGACGACGACGACGACGACAACGACGACAACGACGACGAGCGCGTCGACATCCTGGTGCAGCTCAAGGAGATGGCGCGCGACTCTAGCACGAACATCGAGCGCCGGGGCTGGGCGCGAGGAGTGGCGCCAGGCGACGTGGCCCACGCAGCGCGAGCTGACCGCGGCGAAGGCCAGGGATATCCCGCCGACGAAGCTCGTGTCAGGCGTCAAATCGCACCACGAACCACATCTTCGCTGGAAACAGGGCGCGGGCAGTCGCGTGCGGGAACTTTGAACTTCGGAGCGGGCAGCTCGGAATGCGCGTGCGCGGCTAATCTCGACGCGTCCTCGCTGCGGGCCGCGCCGGCATGGACGTCTCCACAACGATTCTGAACGCGTGGCTGTCCATCGACCACGAGCGGATGGTCGCCCGCCCGCCCGCCGCCATGGCCAGGCCAAATTTGGTGCCTGAGGGCGAGCTTTGGGCGGCCCAGGCCGCGATCTACGATTTGCGGGCGTCGCCACGCGCATGGACCTGCGTCTCCTCCTCCTCCTCCTCCTCGTCCTCCTCCTCCTCCACTGTCTCCTCGGTGCCCTCAGCCTTGTCCTCTTCCTCCTCCATCATTGCCCTTATAACTCCTTCCTGTCGCACCCCACACACGTGTCAGTAGGGCGGGCTGGGAGTTTCGCCTAAGACTTCCTCATCATGTATGATCCTGACGCGTGAAATTTTCAGATGCTACACTATGGAAGGCGCACGCACATGTGGCTCTCGCCTCAGCACCACGCACATTCACTTTGAAGAAGTGCAACAGTTTAAAAGGCGGAGGGCGGGAGGTTTCAAACTTTGGCTCTCGGCTGATCGCCGCGCACATTCGTGTTAAAGTTTGCACAAATTTCCAAGCTAGAGGGCGGACCGTCTTCAACATGAGGCTCTCGCTTTAGCGCGAAGCTCCTTCGTTGCCAAAGTTTAACAGCGTCAAAGATGGAGGGCGGTTCCTTTTCAAAAAAGATGGTCAAGTCCCAGGGATGGCATTCTGGCACGAATCATGATCTTCAGGACGCAGCAGTCACGTTGATTCGCGGTGTCGAAGTCTAAGAGATGCTGTTATTGCACGGTTTAGGACAGATCGCAACAGTCACGTTGACTCGCGGCGCTGAAGTCCAAGCCTGGTTTTGGCACGATTGAGGATTCTCAGACGGTTGTAATCCAACGGGGCACTTTGTAAAATAGCAGCAAACTTTTGTAAGGACCTACGAAGAGGGAACTTGGAGGGAAGCTGTATAGCAAAATCGCTGCCGCGTATTAGGCTAACTCTAGTCCTTCTCCTCCTCCACCCTCCCCTCCCCCTTTCTCCTCGGTCCTCCGCCTCAACCTTTGCCTTCCGTGCGCCCCCCGCTTCCACCTCCTTCGCATGGACATTCACCTTCACCTCCTCCTCACTTCCTCCTCCTCCTCATCCCCCTCCCCTTCCCCCCCCATCCCCTCCTCTTTCCCAGAGATCCGATAATAGGAATTCTCCAATACGCGATCCCAAGACCTCTCGACACACCTTCACGGGGACACATTCTTCGTCCCAGACCGTGCTTGGCGGCCCTGTTGCCCGCAAAACGTTGGAGAACAACACCGATTTGACTTTGGATAATGCGCAAGAGGTCTGTATCCTCATACACCTCCCCCTCCTTCCCCACCCCCTGCAGGAAGGGGGAACGTGAGGGGGGGACCAGCCCAGGGGGGGAACATCGAGCTGGAATCGGATATCCATCACTAACAGGCCGGCGATGCCCCCGATAGCGAAACCGCACGTTCCTGGGCGGGGTGGGGCTATCGGGCCCCCTTGGGGGTCGATGGGGGGTCGATGCGTCTCCCCCCTGAGCCCGTCCCTCGTGTCCTTCCCCTGCAGCCCTCCTCCTCCTCATCCGCCGCCTCCTTTCGAGCGTGCGCGGCCGCGTAATGGGCCCCCCTGACGTCGCCCCTAGTAGCCCTCCTACTCTGCCGCCGCCTCCTCTCGAACGTGCGCGGCCGCATGACGGGGCGGGGGGGCGAGGTGGTGCAACCCACCCCGGGGGGGGCGCCTTGCCGGTCTGCACGTCGTAGACGGCGAGGTTGGGGGAGATGCCACTGAGCGCGTTTTTTGTTGTTGTTGCCTCTTCCGGCGAGAGGGGGGTGAGGGGAAAGGGGGGACGCATCTAGGAGGATGCAGCTACTGCAGCGTGACCCGCCGCATGCGATGCGGTCGTGCGTCGCATCGCCAGAAGGTAAGAGTGCGTGCGACTTGGGGCGTGGAGCTTGGCGTTCTCTTTGTGCGAGGGGTCGAAGGGCAAGCGAGGTGCGCCTGGGGAGGAAGGCAAGACTGGCGAGAGGAGGGGTGGACATACTAGGCGCGCTCGCTCCACATCTGACATCCTGCTCATCCCGCCCATCCCATCTCGTCGTATAACCCCACGACATGTTCAAGACCACCCCCCCTTCCGGCAGAAAGATAACGCTTCCGCACCGGGAAGCGTTATTCTCGCATCGGAAGGATAATGTGGCTCTCGCCTTAGCGCCGCGCACATTCGCTTCAAACATTTGCAAGAGCTTCACGGATGGACGGGCGGTTTATACCTCTCGCCTCAGCGCCGCGCGCATTCATATTGTAAACGTTGCAAGAGATTCACGGGCTGAGGGCGGCTCGTTTTCAAAATGTGATTATGGTCTAAGCGCCGCGCGAATTCTTTTCGAACATTTGCAAGAGCTTCACACATGGAGGGCGGATGATGTTCGAAATGTGGCTCTCGCCTCGGCGCCGCGCACATGTATTTTGGAAACGTTGCAAGAGCTTCACGGATGGAAGGCGGCTCGTTTTCAAAATCTGGGTTTCGCCATCAGCGCCGAACACATTAGTTTCAAAAACGTTGCAAAGGACTCCGCGCCCATTCGTTTTGAAAACGATGCAAGAGCTTCACGGACTGAGGGCGGCTCGTTTTCACAATATGGCTCTCGCCTTCGCACCGCGCGCACTCGTTCTCAAAACGTTGCGAGAGTTTCACGGAAATTAACAAGAGCTTCGCGAATGGAGGGCTGCTCGTTTTCACAATGTGGCTCTCGCCTCGGCGCCGCGCACACTCGTTTTGAAATCGTTGCAAGAGATTCACGGGTGGAGGGCGGGCCGAATTCAAAATATGGCTCTCCCCCTAGCGCTGCGCACGTTCGTTAAATCGGACATTCAAGAGTTGCACGGATGGATGGCGGCTCGTTTCCACAGTATGGGTCTCGCCAAAGCGCCGCGCACATTCGTTTTGAAAAGCGCTGCAAGAGCTTCACGTATTGAGGGTGGTTTTGCGATTCTACCCTACTGCTACTACTACTACTACTACTACTACAACTACTACTACTACTACTACTGCTGCTGCTGCTGCTGCTACTACTACTACTACTGCTACTACGACGGTTACGACGACGACTACTACTACTACTACTTCTACTACTACTACTACTACGACTACTACGACTACTACGACGACTACTACTGCTACTAATACTACTACTACTACTACTACTACTACTACTACTACTACGGCTACCACTCCCACTACCACTACTATTACTACTACTACTACTACTACTACTACTACTACGACTATGACTACGACTACGACTACGACTACTACTATTACTACTACTACTACTCCTACTACTACTACTACTACTACCAGTTCTACTACTACTACAACTACTACTACTACTACGACTACTACTACGACTACTACTACTACTACTACTACTACTACTACTACTACTGCTACTGCTTAGCTGCTACTACTACGGCTACGACGACTACTACCCTTTCTTCTACTACTACTACTACCACTACTACTACTACCACTACTACTACTACTACTACTAGTACTACTACTACTACTACTGCTACTACTACTACTTCTACTTCTACTACTACTACTAATGCTACTAGGGCTACTACGACGACGACTACGACTACGACTACGACTGCGACTACGACTACTATATTACTGCTACTACTACTACTGCTACTACTACTACTACGACTACTACTACTACTACTACTACGACTACTACCACTACTACTACTACTACCACCACTATTACTACTACTACTACTACTTCTACGACTATTGCTACTATTACTACTACTACTACTGCTACTGCTACTACTACTACTACTACTACTACTACTACTACTACTACTACTACTAGTGCTACTGCGACTACTACGACGACGACTACGACTACAACTACGACTGCGACGACGACTACTACTACTACTACTACTAGGGCTGACCGGGGGATGGTGGCCGGGCAGTTCGTCCGAGAGACGACTTAAGGGTGGTGATGGAGGTTTCGAGTTTCCAACGGCTTCTACAAAAAAAAAGATTGTGGGTGTGGGTGTGGGTGTTGGTGTGGGAGTGGGAGTGGGAGTGGGTGTTTCATGTATGGTGTATGATGATGTATGATGATGGATGGTGATGTATGGTGATGTAGGATGATGTACGGTGACGTATGATTTTGTACAATGATGTATGATGATGTATGATGGCGTATGATGACGCATGATGATGTGTGATGATGTATGGTGGTGTATGATGATGTATGCTGATGTATGATGATGTATGATGATGTATGATGGTGTATGATGACTCTTGATGATGTATGATGATGTATGATGATGTTTGATGGTTGGCGTATGGTCTTTGATTATGTGCGATGTATGTTGATTAATGGTGTGGTGTTTGATGCGTGATGCTGAATGATGTTTGATGTTTGATGCTTGATGTTTGATGCTTAGATGACGTTGGATGGTGTTTGGTGTTTGATGTATGATGTTTAATGATGTGTGGTGTTTGATCTTCGACGTTTGACGTTTGATGTTTGATGATGCATGATGCATGTTTGATGGTGTTTGATGTTTGGTGTTTGATGTGTGTTGATGTTTGATGTTGTTTGTTGTTTGATGTTTACTGATGGTTGGTGTTTGAAATTCGATGTTTGATGTGGTTTTCGATGATGTTTGATGCGTGATGTTCGATGCTTGGTGATGTGTGCTGTGTCATGTTTCATGCTCGATGTTTGATGATGTGTGATGTTTGATGATGTGTAATGTTTGATATTTGATGTTTGATGATGTGTGATGATTGATGTTTGATGTTTAATGATGTTTGATGTGTGATGATTGACGTTGTTTGGTTTTTGATGATGGCTGATGTTTGATGTTTGATGTATGATGTTAGATAATGTATGATGTTTGAAGTGTGCTGTATGTCTGGTGATGTGCGATGCATTACGATGCAGGATGTTTGATGATGTATGATGATGTATGATGTGCGGTGTTTGATGGTCTAGTATGATGTATGGTTTTTGATGATGTTTTATGATGTATTGTGTTTGAGTGTGCATGATGTTGTATGGTGTCTGATGCAGTCATGGATTATGATGTATGGTGCTTGATCGTGTATTATGATGTATGGTGTATGATGTTTGATGGCGTGTGATGATGTATGATGTACGATGTCTGATGATGTGTGTTGTTTGATGACGTATGATGTTTGATGGTGCCTGATGTTTGATGATGCATGGTGGTTGATCATGTATGGTTTATGTACAATGTTGTATGACACATGGTGATGTATGGTGTATGTATAATGCTGTATGATACATGATAATAGGGTGTGTGTATAATGTTGTATGCTGCATGCTGATGTATGGTGCATGTATAATGTTGTATGGTGCATGGTGATGTATGATGTGTGTAGCATGTTGTATGATGAATGATGGTGTGTGATTTATGTATCACGTTGTATGGTGCATGATGGTATATGATGTATGGATCATGTTGTATGATGTATGATGGTGTATGGTGTATGTATCATGTTGTATGACTACTACGCCCTCGTCGTCGGGCCCCCCAGGAGGCTTCCCAGGAGGCCGGTCAGGAAGCCCAAGACGCCTCCCAGGAGGCCCCAGATGCCTCTCAGGAGGCCCAAGAGGCCCCTCAGGAGGCCAGAGAGGCCTCTCAGGAGTCCCAAGGGGCCTGTCGGGAGGCTCAAGAAACCTCACATGAGGCCCAAGAGGCCTCTGAGGAGGCCCCAGAGGCCTCTCAGGAGGCCCCAGAGGCCTTTCAGGAGGCCCCAGAGGCCTCTCAGGAGGCCCAAGAGGCCTTCCAGGAGGCCCCCCGCAGGAGGCCTAATAGGCCCCCCAGGAAGCCCAGGAGGCCCCCCAGGAAGCCCCAGAGGCCTCCCAGGAGGCCCAAGAGGCCTCCCAGGATGCCCAAGAGGCGTCTCAGGAGGCCCCCCAGGAGGCCCAAGAAGCCTCTGAGGAGGCCCCAGAGGCCTCTCTGGAGGGCCAAGAAGCGTCCCAGGAGGCCCAAGAGGCTTCTCAGGAGGCCCAAAAAGGCAGCAGGAAACCAACTCACAGGAGGCCCAAATACGCCTCCCAGGAAACCAAATAGGCCCCCCAGGAAGCCCCAGAGGCCTCCCAGAGGCCCAAGAGGCCTGCAAGGATGCCCAACAGGCCTCCCAGGAGACCCAAGAAGGCCCAAGAAGCTTCTCGGGAGGCCCAAGCGGCCTCTCAGGAGGCCCAAGGAGCCTCCCAGGATACCCAAGAGGCCTCGCAGGAAGCCTAAGACGGCTTCCCAGGAGGCCCCGCACGCCCCGCGCGCCTGGCGCGCCACGCGCGCCGCGCGCGCCATTCGCGTCCCGCGCGCCGCGCGCGCCCCGCGCGCCCCGCGCGCGGCGCGCGCCCCGCGCGCCCGCGCGCCCCCGCGCGCCCCCCCGCGCCCCCCCCACGCCGCCCCGGCCACCATCCCCCGGTTAGCTACCTACTACTACTACTACTACTACTACGCTACTACTACTACTACTACTACTACTACTACTACTACTACTACTACTACTACTACTACTACTACTACTACTACTACTACTACTACTACTACTACTACTACTACTACTACTACTACTACTACTACTAACTACTACTACTAACTACTAACTACTACTACTACTACTACTACTACTACTACTACTACTACTACTACTACTACTACTACTACTACTACTACTACTACTACTACTACTACTACTACTACTACTACTACTACTACTACTACTACTACTACTACTACTACTACTACTACTACGCTACTACTACTACTACTACTACTACTACTACTACTACTACTACTACTACTACTACTACTACTACTGCTACTCCAACTACTACTACTACTGCTACTACGAGTACGGCGCCTACTACTACTACGACTACTACTACTACTACTACTACTACTACTACTACTAATACTACTACTACT